AGTCATGATCTAGCACATTTAAGAGAACTGAGTTCAAAGGAATGAATCCATCTTCAAAGGGAAAGATACATCAAATGAGAATTTGGCCAACAAGGAAAACTCTTAAATGTCATAAAGTCTTGGTAGCTCCTGGATATCACTATAAATGACCAAGCTCGTGCATACAGAAAGGTGAGCACGATTCGAGAGGAAATTTCCCAAAGAAAGAGAGTCATACAAAAGGATGACCTAGAAGACCGTGTACTAGTGACCATTATATTAGCGGTTCTATTCCTTGTAATTCAATTACTTTTGCATTGAGGTTAAAATGAACATTTGAGAATGTTTTCCTTTGAGGGTTGGGGTGTGCACTGAGAGCTTTGTTGTAAACTTGAGAGCCTCTTTACCCACAAGGTGAGCTAATGAGAACTCTACCTAGAGAGGTTAGAGTTGGGGGTGGATCAAGGGTAAACTAGAAGACTTTATCTTGTAACTTGTTTTAAAGGTTTTTATTGAAGTTGTTTCAAATTCTTCCGAGGGAGGTCAAGGTTAAATTTTTTAATCTCTTTTGAGCCAAGAGATTTTTCCTCGCTAATTTTTTGTGTCCTTTAGTTTCTGTTTTCCATTGCCCTATACTAGATCTTGGCAAAAAAATGTCATAGTTCCACACACATAATTCACACCCCCGTTATTCAACCAGTTCATCAATTGGTATCAGAGCAGTTCTTCTTGATATAAACGGTAAACCCTTCAGAAGAGATCCTACGAAATGATTACGGTTGATCGTCTTGGAGAAGGTTAGTCAACCCAGCGACCCCCACTGCTCAATCACAAGTTCTATTAATTATGGAAAAGTCGAATGAAGAACTTTATCAAGACAGACAACTATCAAGTATGGAATGTTATTGAGGAATGTACATGACCGGGTATGGAATGAAGAACTCAAAGTACATGACTTGTCCGCCACTAATGATCCATGGCCGGGTACAACCTGCTATGCAGGTCACTTTAAATAAAAATGACTCAGTATAACATGTTATGCATGTCACTATTAAATAGAAGTTTTGCATATGCTATAAATAATCCGAACTATAGTCGTTATTCTTTGAATAATCCCAATCATCAAGTCATTTCTTTTACGAAACATAGAAAAGTTTATAAAACATTCAAAATTAGGATTTTATGATATGTAAATTTAACTAAATCTAAAAACGTACGCATTTTGAAAGCAAAAATATTACATTTTATTTCATTCTTTAAAATGTAATTTCTATGTTTTGATAAATACTTTTTTTTTTTTTGTAAATTAATGATTTTGTATTGGTTTTGTAACTACTTTTAAAATGATTCAATATTTTACTTTATTTAGGATGATTAACTTTTAAGTTTTAAATGTTAAGAAAAATCATTGTTTTTTATTTTTTGCAATTTGAATCATTTAAAGTTTTTTATATTGACATTTTCCTCTCTTTATTTACATATTTTATATTCCTTATATATATTTATAATATCTTACATATTATAATTTTTTTATTTTAAATTTTATATAAGTTTTTCCATATTTTATATTTATATTTTTTTTACTATTTAATTCCAGAGAATACCTAAAAGGTTGATTATAGTAAAAGTAAATATCTAAAATGAATTTTTACCATTTATTTATTTATGAAATTTTTGATTTAATTTTTGTGGTCTAATAAATTAAATAAAGAAATCCTGTTTTGATTTAATTTTGATTTATTAAATAAATTATTTATTTATTAATTTTTGGGGTCTAATTTTTTATTTAATTTTTGTGGTCTAATTAATTTTGATTTAATTTTGATTTATTAAACAAATTAGTTATTTATTAATTTTTGGGGTAGATGTCGGGGAACATCTACCGGATTTTATGAAATAAAGAAAGAAGTAATGGTCCTCAACACGACATCATTTCCTGTTTGGTCCTCAAACGAAACATCGGCATCATTAGTATAGGTAACAGACTGATGAACACCCACGGTTACCGCCACAGTACTGGTAGCCACCTGGGGTTCATCCTTATCAAGTCCCACTGCCAGTTGGGCAGCATTGGAAATTTCAGTCAACATGGTAACAACTTCTATGTGATCTGAGACCACCTGGAAACCGAGTTGTGTATCCGGAGCACAAACAGTGCACTGTAGTACAACAGTTTCAACAAAAGGGGCTACCACGGGGGCCTTTAAAGCATTAGCTTGTGCATCACAAATAACATTAAGGACTACAACATCAATAGGGTCCTCAACATCAGGGAATGCCTGCACCTCTAAAGATTTTGCAATAACAAGGGCTAGAGGCACAAGTTCATCATTAACATTCACAACTAAAACATTAACAGGGGACTCAACTTCATCATGAAAGGGGCCTTTTGCAGTGGGTTTGAAAACTGTTAAATCAGTTTCCACATAACCCAAAGAAGAGGTACCCGGTTCCTTAACAGCCTGTGGAAGAATAGGCATAATAACATCAATAGTAGGGGGTTGGGGGCTTCGGTAGGGACAACAGTAGGGGTATGTTTGTTAGGCACAAAACATTCGGTTGACAGGGGGCATTCAGAATCAATATGGCCAAACCGATAACATTTTTTGCAGAAAAGGGGTACATTTTCATACACAATTTTCTGAAAAAATCATGTTGTACCATTTCCTATGCAAATTTTTGGGGGCAATTCAAGAGAGATATCCATTTCAATACAAATCCTGGATGTGGATGGTCTGGAGAAGTTCGCAGTAGGGGTGTCAATGGTGACTGGCTTTCCCAAAAGCTTAGAAATTGATCTAAGGGCTCGTAAATCATGTAGGTGGACAGGAAGTCCTTCGAGGGAGATCCAGATAGGCGCAAGGGGTGAGTCTAGTTCAACAGAGATACTCGGAGTCCATCGGGTCACCACCATCTCAAATCCGAAGAAATCCCATGATTTCTTCTCCCAAAACTTTTGAAAATCAGGATCGCACTTGAAATTAATCAAAACAATATTGGAGTGAAGCAAACCAACCGAATAAGCCTGTGAAAACCCTATCTTTTCAAAAGCCTTACGAATTGCAGGGATGGGGGCGACCGTAAGGGAAAGTACCGACCAGTGCGAATCGGTAAGGAAGAGATAAAACCTGTAAGTCGTCTTCAGAAAATGAAATGGACGGAAAACCGTTCACGCTACCAGACGATCCGAGGTTGGCCGCGTCGGAGAGCGAATGTGACTGAGAGTGCAAACGATGACTTGGGGTGGGATCCCTTACCACCACAACATAAGAGAGCTTCACCTGCGAGGTCATCAAGATTGTTCCTTCCGCCGGCGTCATTTCTGCCGCACGGGCTTCAGGTTGTCCGAATGAGATAATCGTCGAAGCTAGAGAGAAGATAGAGCGTCTCTCTCATGTATGTTAATATTATTGTATGTTGCTTACCCTTTTCTACAAAAGTCATTATCATTGAATATATTATTCATGCAATTCGAATGTCATTTATAGAATTACATCATCGTGAGAGTAATTCACATTACCTTGAGAAATGGCTTCGTGATCCAAGTATGATTCAATTGTGAAAAATAGTTGAAATACAAACTTGAATGCTTCTTGTCCACACAAAAATATACAACATTGAATTGAAAAATTTCTTAATATAGAGTTAATAAAGATTACTCAGATAATGCTTCATTGCAATTATAAAAAGCTGTAAATGCTTTTTAAATTAAATAGTTCTCGAAATAGTGTGTTATTTGAGATTAGATAATAGTATTTTTGCAAATTTTAATCAGTATACATCCTCAATTAAAATACCAATAAAAGCCTAAATACATGTTGAGTTAGAATGTTTTTAATTAGACTGTCAGGACCAAATTATTTAATTTTTGTGGTCTAATTAATTTTGATTTAATTTTGATTTATTAAACAAATTAGTTATTTATTAATTTTTGGGGTAGATGTCGGGGAACATCTACCGGATTTTATGAAATAAAGAAAGAAGTAATGGTCCTCAACACGACATCATTTCCTGTTTAGTCCTCAAACGAAACATCGGCATCATTAGTATAGGTAACAGACTGATGAACACCCACGGTTACCGCCACAGTACTGGTAGCCACCTGGGGTTCATCCTTATCAAGTCCCACTGCCAGTTGGGCAGCATTGGAAATTTCAGTCAACATGGTAACAACTTCTATGTGATCTGAGACCACCTGGAAACCGAGTTGTGTATCCGGAGCACAAACAGTGCACTGTAGTACAACAGTTTCAACAAAAGGGGCTACCACGGGGGCCTTTAAAGCATTAGCTTGTGCATCACAAATAACAGTAAGGACTACAACATCAATAGGGTCCTCAACATCAGGGAATGCCTGCACCTCTAAAGATTTTGCAATAACAAGGGCTAGAGGCACAAGTTCATCATTAACATTCACAACTAAAACATTAACAGGGGACTCAACTTCATCATGAAAGGGGCCTTTTGCAGTGGGTTTGAAAACTGTTAAATCAGTTTCCACATAACCCAAAGAAGAGGTACCCGGTTCCTTAACAGCCTGCGGAAGAATAGGCATAATAACATCAATAGTAGGGGGTTGGGGGCTTCGGTAGGGACAATAGTAGGGGTATGTTTGTTAGGCACAAAACATTCGGTTGACAGGGGGCATTCAGAATCAATATGGCCAAACCGATAACATTTTTTGCAGAAAAGGGGTACATTTTCATACACAATTTTCTGAAAAAATCATGTTGTACCATTTCCTATGCAAATTTTTGGGGGCAATTCAAGAGAGATATCCATTTCAATACAAATCCTGGATGTGGATGGTCTGGAGAAGTTCGCAGTAGGGGTGTCAATGGTGACTGGCTTTCCCAAAAGCTTAGAAATTGATCTAAGGGCTCGTAAATCATGTAGGTGGACAGGAAGTCCTTCGAGGGAGATCCAGATAGGCGCAAGGGGTGAGTCTAGTTCAACAGAGATACTCGGAGTCCATCGGGTCACCACCATCTCAAATCCGAAGAAATCCCATGATTTCTTCTCCCAAAATTAATTCTTCTAATTGGATGGAATACATTTATACATCTACATTATTCATGCAAGCCATATCAACATCACAAATCATTATAGTAAGTTTTGTGGGCGCTAAAATCAAAGCCAAAAATTCTCTATTCCTCAATTTCACATCATTGTGCATTTGTTATAAATCATATTCTTTTTCCTCGTTTTCTTCGAACTGCTTTCTCCAAGTGCTCATAATTGTACCATATCATCATCGATAGTCATAACGTAAGATTGTCTAGTTGTTTTGCCTTGGCAATGTCTTTGTTGGTATGTATTTCCTCTTTTGCATATTGGATGACCATTTTTTTCTAACACACTATTGTTCCTCATAATTCTTCATTTTGACCTACAATAAATAATGCAATACTTAAAGAATAATAATCAAGAACCCACTGATATAATCATAGCAATCTTCTGTTTTAAAAAGTAATTTGTGGTGTTGCAAAGTACACAAGGCTAGACATATACTAAAGCTTCACAAACAATGCACAATTTGAAGGATTATATTATGACGTATATTTAAAGCAAAAAGATATAGGTCATGTCAAATTTGTGATTTTTAGTCTGCGCTGCAATTACATTCCAAGTCATCCAAAAGACTCCAGTGAATTATTATTGAACCTAAAGGATATATCAAAGATTCATAAATTACATTTTACACAAACTGGTCATTATATAAACATCAAGTATCTTCATAACAAAAGTATGACCATTAGTGATTTTTGAGCAAGTGATATGGAAACTAAACCGGGGCAGAAAATTCAACTAATAATATATAAGTTGACATTGAAATAGGATAATAGACCCAATTCTGTGATCATTTCTGTAAGCTCATTAATGCATGAACTGACACAAGAAGGGATCAAATTTCAAGTTATCATTACAGTAGATTATCCCTTTTTGTGTGTGACTTTGTATATAGTTGAAAAGGGTATATTCATGACCGATGACCATCTGGAAGGTAGATTGCTCAATAAATATCTGCAATCAAAACTATTCTTAGCTGCACGAACAAGCTTCAAAACAGTAAGAGAACAAAATCATACAGTTATAAGAAGTTATAATGTTATATTTTTTTTTTGACAGATATAAAATTAATTATCATTAATCAAGTCACGGTGCAAAAAGTTCTCAATACAACTCGGGGGTGAAGTCAACCAAAGCTGACCATCAGACAAGAAACAAGCTTCCTTTGGTAATGCATGAGCAACCCTCTTCGCTGACCGTCTAACAAAAGAAAAAGAAATATTAGAGAACCCCGAACTCAAATCTCGTATGTCTTCTGCTAGCAATCCTCCCGAAGAAATGCTTGTACCCTTTTGGATTTGAGAAACCGCCAATAAAGAATCTGACTCAATTTCCACTGAATCCCAAGCCTTATCCTTCAACCAACTCAGCACCTCCCGGATACCCAAGAGCTCTGCTTCTAAGGGAGAACAACAACTATCCTTCTTATGCGTACCTGCTACAAGGAAATTCTGATCCCAACATCATCCTGGATCACCCATCCCAACCCGAGCCCGTAGATACCCACAAAAGCGTCTACATTAGCTTTCAACCAGCCGTCTTTTGGTCACCTCCAACATTGAGCCTCTATCGCACCTCCTTGTCCGGATCGGTGCTCCTCTAACTGGATAGAACTCCAAGCAGACACAAAGCTCCCTGCTTTATTCATGAACTGATCTGGTCCAAGATACTCACCCTGCCACACACTTCTATTCCTTTCAGATCACAAACCCCAACATCTCCAAGCAACTTTCATCAAATCCTCCCCTGCCCTGTTGGGAAAAACTCCCTGGAACCAGCCCATAAAGGTATAGAAACTTTGACCTGAGAAATCCCAGCCCACCGAGTACCACGCAGCAGCAGCCACTGGACACAACACGAATAAGTGAAGGAGGGATTCGTCCCCCGTCCCACACAGCCCACATTTCTTGGCGCAATCCACTCGCCGTCGAAGAAGATTCGCGGTCGTTGGAAACGAGCCATTACAAATCTGCCAAAAGAGAGATTTAATTTTAGGCGGGAGATTCCATTTCCAGGCCAACGTCCAACTCCACCAACCGTCTTCAGAAAACACCCCAACAAGTCTTCGATAGCAACTACGAACGGAGAATCTACCATTTTGCTCGCCCTTCTAAATAATCCGATCTGAAACTACTCTCTGGCTTAGAGGGATAGTAATAATTAGTCTCCTGTCCCTGTCATTAAAAACCTCACTAACCAGATCAGAGTCCCATCCTTCTTCAAAAGAGGGTAAAAGAAGTTGTGCAACCTTTATATCTTCCAAACCTTCAAAAACCGAAGGAGTAATTTTGGAATTAGTTGCATCCGGGAGTCAGGGATCCTCCCATACATTAATAGAATCCCCAACCCACCCGCCAACAATAACCATCCTTAATAACCGATTGAGCCTCATAAATACTACGCCAAATAAATGAAGGACTATTTCCTAGCTTTGCTGAAATAAACGAGCCATCAGGAAAGTGGCGAGCTTCAAAAACACGACCAACCAGAGAGTCAGGCTCAGTAAATAATTTCCACGCCTGCTTAGCCAACATAGCAACATTAAACTGTCTAACTCTTCGAAAACCCAGCCCCCAAACGTTTTAGGCTTACAAAGTGACTCTCAATCCCTCCATCGGATGCCCTTTCCGGCATTACCGGTCTACTAGTAACCATTCATAAGTATTTCCAATTCCTTACAAAGCTCATTGGGAAGGAGAAAAACATTCATCACATATAAAGGCATAGCTTGAATTACCGTCTTAAGAAGAACCTCTCTTCCTGCCCGAGAAAGGAATCTATTATTCCAGCTTTGAATCCTCTTGATTACCCTCTATCTCAAATAATTCAAAATCTCCCTTTTATTCCGCCCAAAAAGAGCTGGCAGCCCCAAATACTTTTCATCAGTTGTCGCGGGCCCCACACCAAGAAGCTCCACTAACCCCTCCCTAGTGCTGGCCGAAACATTAGAGCTGAAAAAACCTTTGACTTATTAAAACTAACCAACTATCCTGAGGCATATTCATAGTAAAGAATGCTCTCCTTAATAATTGTTGCCTCTCCATGATTTGCTTGAAAGAAAAGTAGACAATCATCAGCAAAAAGTAAGTGAGAAATTTGTGGCGCTCCTCTAGCCACCGCTACTCATGAATGTGCCCCAAACTCTCGTGCCTCCTGAGTAGAGCACTAAGTCCTTATGCAATCAAAATAAACAGATAAGGAGATAAAGGCCCCCTTGACGTAACCCTCTAGAGGAAAAAATTGGCCCTATTTCAGTATCTTCAAAAGGGATAGAATATGTAACTGTCATCACACACAACATAACAATTTTAATCCACCTATCGGAAAACCCCATGTGCTTCATCATACCCTCCAAGAACGACCACTCAACTCGGTCATACGCCTTACCCGTATCCAATTTTAAAGTCGCATGAGCAGTCTTCCCTTGAGTCTTACGTTTCAACTAATGTTGGGATTCAAAGACAATCATGACGTTGTCAATAATAGATCTACCAGGAATAAACGCACTTTGTTGCTCAAAAATACACATGTAAAGAAGGCCCTTTAATATGTTAGATAAAATTTTAGAAAAAATCTTGCAGACGACATTACATAGTGCAATCGGACGCCAATCAATTAACACTTCGGGGTGCTCCTTTTTCGGAATCAAGACTATATGTGTATGGTTAATACCATCCGGAATAGTACCCGACTCAAAAACAGACCGACAAAAGGACACAACATCTGACCCAATAACATCCCAAAAATGCTGAAAACCCCCAGGGCTCATACCGTCAGGACCAGGAGATTTATCTGGATACATGGAGAAAAGGGCCTCCTTAACCTCAGCAGTAGATATCGACCGAATAAGGAGAGCATTCTGGTGCTCCTCAATCCTGCGGTCAACATAATGAAAAATATGGTCTCCATAACCCTGAACAGAGGAAAAAATATCATTATAATAATCCCCGATCAAACTTGCCAAATCCCCTCTATCACAGCCCAGCTCCCATCCACCGCCTTCAGCCCCTCCATTTTAATTTTCCTCCTCCTCATCCTCACTGCATTATGAAAAAATTTCGTACTAGTATCACCTCCACGGTACCAGAACTCTTTAGTTTGTTGCTTCCAATACAGATTTTCCTTCTCTAACAGTGCCAAGTATTCGCATTTAACCCTGTCAAATTCGGCCAGCCCCCGAGCGTCAGTTCTGGAATGGAGATGATTCAATCTTTTCTTGCAAAAGGATATTCTTTTACCATACATTCCTGCCATACCGCGACCCCACTCCTCCACGGCCTTACTACAAGCCGTTATCCCCCCACCACACCTCCATCCCGCCCTACACCCCACCCCCTTACCACCACTTCCCGACACTCCTCGTCCCGGAGCCAAACATTCTCGAATTTAAATCGCCGTTTGCGGTTGACTCCCCATGTCAGATTAAAACAAATAAACAAGGCTAGATGATCACTAGGGGCCCCTCTAAAGACTCCGCTCCAGCCTCCCCAAAGAGATCCAACCAGCCTTCGGAAGCCAAGATTCGATCTAACTTCTCTTCCACCTAATTAGGAGAGTCCCGCCACCTTTCCCATGTAAACTCATAAACTGCAAAGGGAACGTTACATAAACCGCTAGCCCAAACAGCCTCCCTCAAACCCCTTAACATCCAAGGGGGGTGAGGTACTCTTCCCCTTTCTCTGAAACAAAGAGAATATCATTAAAATCGCCCATCACTAGCCAAGGTATAGAAGACACCGTGTTAAGCGATGTCAAAAGTGCCCAAGAATCACGCCTTCTATGCCACTCAGGATAACCATAAAATCCTGTAAATCTCCACATAGGACCCTCCTCCTCCAACTTCACCCAAACATCAATATAATTAGCCGAACTTCCCTGAACATCGACTTCAATCCCATGAACCCACAGAAGAGCTAACCCACCTCGGTGCCCCTCACAATCAATAGTGAAACTATGCTCCATGCCTAACTTCCTTTTGATCTCATCCACCTTTCTGGAATCTGCGAAGGTCTCCATCAAGAAAACTAACGACGGCCTCTTAGAGTGGATCAAATCCACCAAAACTTAAACTGTTCGAGGGTTGCCAAGCCCACATCAGTTTCAGCTAATACAACTCATTGTTCTAGGCGGGCCTGATATCCAGGACCCGCCTCATATCCGTTTTTTGTCAGGCTTAAATTCCATAACCAGACTCCCCGTTTACACCTTCCGCTCAAGTATCTTGAACTTTTCTTTTCTTCTGTGAACTACTACCAAAATCGGCTTCCCCATTCTGCCGCATAACCAAAGCCATGCATGCTGCTCTTGTGCATCCCTCCCGTGAGGCCCCATGTTGGGCCGAAGTTCCCTGCCCATCTCCCATGCTTCGGCCATCATTATGTCTGCTAGAATTCGCAGCAAATTGCCCCTCACTATTGAGCAGCCACCTGATTCCCCTGCTACCAGAATTCCGGCGATTTCCTGCATGCAGCCAAGTGCCGTAGGCTTTCTCCTGCCCATCCACATAACCCTCAAAACGTTTAGGGCAAAACCGGTCAACATGCCCCATCAGCCCACAAATGAAGCAAAAGTGAGGAAGGCGTTCGTATTTGAAGAACACCAAAAAGCTTTCAGTCTCCCGTTTAAGCGTCGTGCACCGTTTGAGTGACAGCGTGATGTCCAATTGCACTCGAACCCGCATGTATTCCTTCCATCCCCTTGTAGTTATTCTGGTCCGCCTGATCAAAGGAACCAATGTGATTCCCAATTATCATAGCAACATGTTCTGTAAAGAAAAACGATGGCACATCGTACACCTGTGTCTTTGGGTTATCCGACATCCCCAACCGGCGAAGTATCAGGAGATTGTTCTCAAACGCCCACGGCCCATCTTGAAGAATCCGTTCAAAATCCACTTCATGAAAGAATTGGAAGAGATAACGACGATCCCCAAGATCACGAATGTTCACTCCTCGTCCGGGTCTCCAAATATCAGCCATTGAATCCCTGAAGAAAGGAAATCGTATTGGTTTGTCTGTGAGTAGTCTGCCAACGACCATGAACTGCTGCGAGACTACTCCCTCCTCCAAGACTTCATCCCCTACATCAATACTCTCAACTTCCTCGTCTGCAAGAGATAACAGTGTACATGTCCTCCATGGAATCCATCTTGGACGTAAAAACGCAACAAACAACGATGAGCGATCAAGGACAGTCGGCCAAAAAAATGAACGACGTGCAAACCCTAGAAAAGCTAGGGAAGAAAAACTCTTCACCCAAGAGGTGTTGGTCTTATTAAACCTCCTTTTAGTTACTCTCTATCAAGTCTTATCATTTTCTTTCTTTCTTATGGAACAACATATCTAGTGTTATAGTTTAAGAAAGTATTAACAAAAAAGTGCACATGCCTTCAAGAACTGCAAGGAAAGATATCATTATCTAAGTGGATCAAGTTTATACTTAAGTTACCATTAGACCAACGTAAAGTACAAATTATATAAGATTATTGTTTAATGGTTTCTATTATATGTGATCAAAAGATATCATATGGTACAACTCATACAAAACAAGTTAGACAATATTATAAAGAATTGGGATGTGAAAGGATAGAGTTTGAGTTGTGATAAATAAGATGAGATAGAGTGGTCTTTGACTCTAAGAGCACCACACAGCAGAAAAAAATCTAGAAAATTTACGGCAAAAACAGTCAAATTTACAAGAATGACTGGGGTGGCTAAAGCGTTTGCCTCCTGAGGTGCAAAAGCGGTGAAAGAAACAAGGAAAGCGCACACTTTATGGAATCTGCTGCGCCTAAGGTTTCTGCTGCGATTTTTTCATCACGTCTCTGCGCCTAGTCACACCTGGTGCATGCTTCTTTAAACTAAGATTCAGTTATAAAAAAAATCAATAATGTGTCTCATAATTTTTAGCTTCTTATAAATGTCTCTTCGAGAGTTAAAATCACAGGGAAATTGACTGAAAATGGAAACAATTCATAACAACGACATCACATCATTTCAATCCCAGGTGGTGGTAAGAACTCTAAAATGCATGCTAAATTTACCAATTCACCATTTACAAAGAGCTTACACTGCCCACAAATAGCATTTGAGGAAGAATATGATGCTAATAAAGGCTTACATGAGATAATTGGAGGCTGAGATGGTCTTTAAGGAAAAAGTTGTTGAGAAATTTAAAGGCAAAAATAGAGATGCTTACTCTGTGCTTCTAAGATAGTTGGAGGTTCTTCAAACCAGTCCTAGAATGTTGTTTAGGTGATATAGTATAAGTCTATACCTACTAAAGTTACTTCATTTTGATAGTTGATACCAAAACGTGACACAACAAAATGATAAGGGAGTCAATTGGATATGTATTAGTTGTGATTCTTAAATGTCAGAGCTGTAAAGGAAGCACACAAGAAAGGAAAATATTTTCTTATTGACCTATCACAGAGAAGACTACACCCATTTGCAGGCATCTTACAAAGAATCGGGTGCTTTTCACTAACCAGTTAATATGCATCCTTGTGTGTTGAGTATCATGTTTTTATTTGGATAATTAAAATATCAACACACTAGAGAAAATTAAAAAAAAATTCTTCACTCTAGTTTCTATATATTGCCTTTGATTTCTTCATAATTCATAAAGTATAAACAATGAATTATATAGAAAACATAAAATAGTTCTACTGTATCACATATTCATGATTTAAAAGAGAAAGTTAAATTCATTTACCAAAAACAGTGAACACATGTTTTGTTTAGGTTTTCTTAATTCTCTTTGATTTTAATACATGCTCATACCATAACAAATAACTAATTAGTTTAATTAGGCAAGCATGAACAATAAATTAAAGATATTTTATTTGAAAAGAAAATGCTATGGTAATTGAGGCCCTTTATCCAAGTCGATAAAAGCCCTAATCATAAATCAAACTTTACGTGTGAATAAATCAAACTATTGCTGAAGCAAAAATGCAATTCTAATCATGTAAAGACCTAATCGCAAATCCTTAGACTATTACTCAATATGTGAAAATCGAAGAAAAAGAAAAAAAAACAATGGTGGGATGGTGGAGGATGGAGGTAAAATGCTTACATATGCCCATTCAATATCGAAGCAGACATGTTGTGGCGATTCTTGAGCCTAGCGCCGGGTAGACAGTGGTGATTCTTGAGCATCTGCTGGAGATTGTTGAGCGGAGCGCCGCTGGTTGCGACACTAGCTTGAGCGCAGCGTAGCCGGCGCTAATTCTTGCGCGGTTCGTAGCCGGTGGCGATCTGAGCAGTCGGTCGACCTTTATTATGGGGTAGAGCTTTACCGGGAAAACCGCTCTCAAGGAGGGAGTCGACATAAGACAATAACTTGTGAAAGGTAGTACATAGTAGTATATAAGTGGGATACTTTTGTTTAATTGAAAATAAATCAGTCGTGGCCCGTGGGTATAAACAATTAAAAAGTTAATTATAAAAAACAAATTGAAAAATCAATCACATGTAACACTTCCTCATAATGTTACATAAATGTTACTATATTTGTTATTTAATGTAACACTTTAATACTAAATGTTACATAATACTCAACTATATGCAATACTTTTTAATTAATGTTGCATACTGTGCAATTCGTGTGTTTATGTAATACTTGTAAATAAGTGTTACATGATTTTAGTATTAAATACAATATGCAACACCAACACGAAGTGTTACAAGTGAAGTGTTACAAAAACCCTATTTTGTTGTAGTGGTGTGTGATGTTAGGGAACTTTGACACCTCCAACTATTTTGAGATAAAAACATCCAAATTTTGATACATGTTGATGGAAACAATCCTGATTTATGAAATTATTAAATTTGCATTAATTCTTAAGAATGATATACATAAGTAATAAATACATATGGAACTTTTGTGTAGATCCCAATTACATAAACTTCAAATTTATTTTTCTTTAATCTTTGATATTGTAGGACAATTTTAAATGCCCTTACTTATATCTTTCTATATAATAATGGATCATGTCTTTTTACACTTGATGCTTTCTTTTGGATAAGAGAAACATATGGTAATATGCTCAAAACAACAGAGGAAAAATTCAACCTTTTTAGTATACTAAAGATTCTTTAACTTGTTCTAGACCTTTATCATCTCCATTGTTGATTCTAACGATAAATAATGCTGATATTCATTGCCAATGTGAAGGCTATGCTTTCCGAATGGAATTCTTCGAATCCCGAATTTATCGGCAACACTTAGATGCTTACACACGTTGATTACGAGCATAGCCTTCTTCTGAGCTCCAGCCATGACATGAACTTTCTCAAATGCAACTAATTGTTTCTCGGGCAGGGTTGTGTTTATGTCATTGGGTGGGGATGAGAAGATTAGAACTGTATGAGTGCCATCTCTTTCGCCAGTGTTCTTCACGTCAATGTGTAGATCTATGTTGAGAGAGTCACAACTTGTGTGTGCAACCTTAACATCTTTATTCAACATTGTCATATTGTTTCTTTCATTACCAAGTAAAGAACTTTTCACAAGAAAGGGAATTGAAACACTAGTGGGGGCATGTGCTAAGCTCTGCTTAAATGTGGTGTAGCTAATTCCAGCCCCAAATGGGAATACCACATTTCCCTTGTAGAACCTATATGTCCTCCCAGGGTACCTTCCTGAAGCTCTCATTTCCATATTTGTCATTGAAACTTTTTCTACATAATCTTGTGGATACCAGGTCATTGGTAGCTTCCCACCTGGATTAATTGCTCCAAACACAATATCAGCAATGGCAGCCCCACCAGCTTGGCCTGGATAGCCACACCACAAAATCGCAGAAATGCGAGGATCATCTCGAGCAAACAAAACATCGATAGGGCCACCTGACATTAACACTAATATAGTAGGCCCTTTAGAAGCCCTTGCAACTCTTGACACGAGCTCTTGTTGTAATCCTGGCAAAACGAGGCTTACTCGGTCCTTGGCTTCCCTTTCGATAGATTGGTCAAGCCCAACCACTAAGATGGTTGCATCTGAATGGCGAGCAGCAATCTCTGCAAGTTCAAAATTTTGATTGGTAGTACATGCAACACCAAAACAGCTTGGTTGGTGAACTGTCTTGGCATATCTTGATATTCCTTGGAGTGGTGATGTGTAACCACATGGAACACCTATATCAGAATTTAATAAATGTTCAGAATTTTGAAAATTTTAACAGTAGTTTTGTTTGGATGAAAAGCTTTTCAAAACATGAGATACAATTAACTGTGAACTTTTCATATATTGTCATAAAGAATATAACCTTAGCTAAGTCCCTGGCATATATAATTACTAAGACCTGTGTCATATTCAACCAGTAACCTCATGCTATCATTCATTCTTTTCATATTTAAGTTACTTTTAAGTATAAGGTATATATAGAATATAATATAGTTGAGTACATGTACTTTTTAGAAGAAAAAAGTGTTCTCATTCACAACAAACCACTAGTTTAGGTGGTAATACTCCTTTTCTTAATTTCTTAATGATTTCTTACTTCTGTCTAGCATTAGTAAACCATTAGCAAATAAGAGACATTATTTTAGTATAACACAACCTTTCTAAACATATTATAAGAACATATATATATGTAGAGAGATAGTTTGGTTCAAATAAAAAGGGCTTATTAGGTGAAAAATGAGAACTAATCATGGTCATTGATCTAATAAAATTGATGATTGAGATGAAACTTTAAAGCAAAAACCCAGTCACATTTTTCATAGATATTTTAAAGTTAAGTGTGTAAAAGTGCATAGTTGTACATGAATAGTGCATTAGTATGCATGAAAGATATGATGCACCATACTTCAGACAAAATATGCTATAATCAAAACTCTTGTAATGACTCATGAGGTTGGATTAAGACGTCTATCTGGGTTAAGATGCCAGTCCGAATTAAGTGATATTTATACATGAGGCTGTTTATTTTGTATGCTGAATAAACAGTCTGAATCGAGTAAAATAGTCGATTTAGTATTATCCTTAGATTATATTATAATGTCAATGAAATCTTCATTCATTAATATAAATCTATTCCACAATCAATTTGAAAAAATTGACAAAAAAAAATCTTAGTGGTAAGAACTGTTATTCTCTAGCTTAATGATTAAGACAGTTTTTTGAATGATTAACTTATGTTTCCGATGAAGTCATAAGTAAACATGACTTGATGGCCGAATGATTAATTTGTCATTGTCATTAAGTCCATTAAGTCGAAAGTAAACAACCCTCCAGTACATGATTGTAATACACTTTTATGTTATACTCATGCCCTTTTTGCACCTATGATTGCACATTTGGATCAAAACTTTCTACCATTTTTTTAATGTGGAGTTGATCTAGCCCATTCAATTTGAAGCAATGAATACTCTAGATTCATTCTTATTTTGCATAGAAAGCAAGGCCGTCTTTAGTTGGTTTGGTGCCTCAGACAAAAACAAAAATTACATTTTAATGTTAGTCAGTAATGTTTTACACAATAAATTATATATAGTTGTATAGCGTAGTTGATTAAAATATTAAAAAGAAAATGCAATCAAATATAGAAATTGAAAGAATCACAAAAAAAAACATAAAAAAATCACCTTTTCCTTCCAAAGATTCTCTTCCTTGAGGCCTACACCTTTGTCTTATGTTCCAATTTTTTAATTAGTTTAGGAGTTTGGTATTTTTTGAAAGCTTAAAGCACAAATAAGGCAATAATTCATAATGAGCTACACCAGTTCTAGGTCACATGAAACATAGATATACTTTTATTAAGTTTTGCAATTGCTTTCCCTTTTATTAGTAGTATTCCCAAATACTATATATGAATTATATAATAATATATAGTAGGAGTTTTATTTTTGAAAATTAGTGCCCCATATGATAGTGGTGCCCTAGGCATATGCCTAGGTGCCTCCCCACTAAAGCTGACCTGATAGAAAGAGTTCTTTTTATCGAAATCATCTACTCCCTCCATCCCGTAATTAAGTTCACAGTTTGACTTCACACAGATCAAGAAAATAAATTTGATTTTACTGTGGAGTGCACTGTTTTGCACTGTTTAAACACTGTTTGACACTATTTGGACACTGTTTGGCACTGTTTGGCACTTTTTGATGTAGATAATTTGCAAATAAGGAAAGTTTTCAAGTGTGAAATTAATTTCGGGACTGCCCGAAAAAGAAAGTGAGAAGTTTATTTTGGGACGGAGGAAGTATATATATATATACACATTAATACATATATGAGTTCATGCTAAGTAAGAGCTTGCGCAAAACCATTTCTAGAAAATAAAACTACCTCCAACCCTTTTTAGTTGCCATCTTTGACGTTTTCAATCAATGATAAAAAAAAAATTTGGTCAATTGTTTTAACTAATACTCTATATATAGGTGTGAAGCTAATAAATTGTATAATTCTATGATTTTAATTAATCGTTAACAACGAATATTTTTATATCATTTTCATATAATAAATACTTTCGTATGTAAATAAAATATCGGTTAGAAGTTAACATTATTGACTGAAAAAGTGAAAGATGATTAACTAAAAAGACAGAAAAGTTTGAAATTAGGATTTAGGATCTATTAGAAAAGTGGTATTACCAGCATAATTGCCGATCATAGTGCTAGTAGCATCCGAATTCGGTCCAATAACTGCAATAGTTCGGTAGTGTTGGGGAGATAGTGGTAGAGATTGTCTAGTATTTTTAAGCAAAACAATGCCTTCTTGAGCGGCTTGTAGGGCCAATTGTTGATGGGCTGGATTGCACACATCTTTTGGACCCAAATGGCTATACAGTTGTTGATTTCCGTCAAAGAGCCCTAATCGCATCTGGACCGTCATCGTGTTAGTTAGTGCATTGTTGACGTCCATTTCACTGACTTTTCCTGTGCGAATGGCCTGCTCTGTGTGGATTGCCAAGAAAGGCCCACAATCTAAATCTAATCCTTTAAAAACACAAACCAACATGTTTATTTGTCTACTTTTTAAACAATCAATTTGATGTTTTTATTCATTTTATAAATAAATAAGAAAAACATATACCTGCTTTAATAGTCGCTGCAATAGTATCTTCAGGCTTGTCTGTGAAATGTTGTTGGTCGAACATAACACCCACTGAATCGCAATCAGAGACTATGTATCTTCATTATAATTATGATGATAATATCAATACATTGTATAAAAAACAATACAATGTACATCTTTTAAAAAATCAAGATTGCAATTTTAAAATAGGAGTTTTAGTAAGTGCGTCAAAGAAGCATAACATTTATATTTAATAAATGTCCATTGTACTTGGTGGGTGCATCTAAACATGTGTATGGTAATAACGAACATGTAACACCGTCCCTGAGTATTTGTACTGTACCAAATTATGTATTGAACCTTGAGGATTGTATAAAAGCATTTTTACGTGATTGTAAATTTTTATCATTTCTATTACGTGAATGGTAAAATTCACGTGGGGCCCACACCGGATGTGGGGCCGCCCGATATTATCGGGACCACATATTATATTAATCTTGGACTAGATAATATGTATATGGTGATGGATATCCTAATTGGGCCATGGCAATGGCATAGAGTTGACCGGTTGGTCAAACGGGGCCAAATTATCGGTATCGACAATTTATTAGATAACAGCCCAAAAAGGGATTCCGGAGTTTTCTAAATTAAAGTTGGGGAATCATATTGATTCTAAGGTCCAATAAGGATTGGGAACAAGTGTTATATTTTATTTGACCCGATAAAATAAAATATACTTAATACAGTCCGGAAAATACAACTTTCGGGACCGATTGTACACTCGGGTACACAAAGGGTTGACCTCCCACATAAGTGGGGGCCAACCCACGTCCTTGGTCTGGAAAATATCAAGGGGAGCCGCATGGAAGCATGGAAAATATTAAGCTGATTGGTAAGGAGACCAATCAAACCAACCAAGGGCCCCTCCTCACATTATTTTGGGCTATTGAGACAAAAGTGAGGGGTTCCCTCCACCCACCTCCAATCAGTTCGGCCATCCCACAAGAGAGGTGATAGAAGCTCTGTAATACTCCATTCTTATCAGCCATTTAAGCACTTGAGCTAAGGAGGAAGAAGGAGGGGAAAAGAGAAGAGAAAAAGTTGGTTTTGGAGAGGAAAACTTGTGTTTAGCAAGGTAAGGACTCCATTAACCCCATTTCGTTTTCTTTAATCATCTTATACGATTATTCAATCATATTTCACACCCTAGGATTGTTCTACACGTTTGGAAGTGTAGAATGAGGGGTTGGAAGGTGGTTCTAAGTCCAAGAACGGACTTAGAAGCCAAAGTAACCGGTTCGCCGGAAAATAACTTTTTTGAGGTTATTTGTATTACTATGGGTTTTATGATGATAAAACCTTGTTAGCAACTTGTCTAAGGTATCCAAGGAACTTTCACGGAGTTGAAAGGGTCACCGGAGTTGTCGCCGGAGTTCGTTAAAGTTCGCCGGAGTTTCACCGGAGCTAAATCGGGAAGGCTAGAACTTCATAAGCTTCATTAAGGTGAGAAGACGGCTTTATGCTTTATAACTTTTGCGTGAGGCATGAGATTACCTAAAGTAATCAAGGATATGTTTTGTGGGATGATTAAAGATAACCAAGTGTTTGCTTATGTCATGATTATACATAAAACATAGTTGAAAAGCATGTTATGTAGGTTTGGTGATTAAAAATGTGATAACATATTTTGTGTGATGATCCAGGGATCCAAAATGGTATTTTTGGATCAAGTACATCAAGAAGTATATGTGTATAAATTTCAAGTTAATCGAACTCCTTTTGGGTGGTCAAACGGGCGTTGACCGCCAGGTCAACTGCCATACCCGACCGGGTATTGACACATACCCGACCGAGTATTTGCTGAAGAATTGCCCAGGGGGCTACTGTCTCCTATACCCGATCGAGTATGGGCAGATACTCGATCGAGTATACATTGAAAATTAGCTTTGGGGACTACCGCCTCCTGTACTCGACCGAGTATGGGTAGATACTCGATCGAGTATTGGTTTATGCTCAAAACGGGCAGTTTTGAGCGGGTTAATGTGGGCTGTTCAGGTGGGACCCGCCCACGTTGGTTCCTAAGGATGGTTATATGACTATAGGGCTAGGTGTTGTCCATAGTTGAAGGAACGAAAGGTTAGCCATATCCAGGTTAGGGTTTGGTAAGGATTTAGTTTGGGGTTGAGTATCCCCGGGACATTAAATGATCCTGAAACTCGGTTGGGGTTGAGCATCCCCGGGACTATAAATGATCCTGAAACTCGGTTGGGGTTGAGCATCCCCGGGACTATAAATGATCCTGAAACTCGGTTGGGGTTGAGCATCCCCGGGACTATAAATGATCCTGAAACTCGGTTGGGGTTGAGTATCCCCGGGACTGCAAATGATCCTGAAACTCAGTTGGGTTGAGTATCCCCGGGACGGTAATGATCCTGAAACTCGGTTGGGGTTGAGTATCCCCGGGATGCTAAATGCTCCCAAAACTCAGTAGGATATTATGAATGTAGAATGTAGCTGGTGAGCTAGGCATTCGGGAAAAGGGTGAGAAAGGTCAGGTAAGAACTTTATCTCTAAAAGACTCTTTGAATGAAATGACCTACGGGTCGAGTATTTTACAAATATATATATATATATATATATATATATATATATATATATATATATATATATATATATATATATATATATATATATATATATATATATAGTGTGTGTGTGTATCATCGGATGAATGAGTCACATATATATATATATATGTATGTATGTATATGTATCACCCTATTTTTGGGTCTCGTGTCTGAAACATTAGTTATTCTTCATATAGCCTGCTTGTCACTAGTACTTCTATGGAGTACTCACCCTTCCGGGGGGCCCTCACATTTTTCAGGTTGAGGCTAGAGTCCTACTACCTGCACCTTTGCCTAGGGTGATCCTTCAAAGAGGAAGACGTGGTTCGTGCTTACATTCGTATTTTTGAAATCTATAAACTGCTCATGGATTTTTGAACAATGTTTTCATTAAAACAGTTGGGGGCCTGCATGCCCGTGTTTGCCACGTGTGGCTAAGTATCAAATATATTATTATTTCCGCATTTGTTTGATTATGATATTGATGTTGATTGTATGTGTTTACTAATCGGTTTGGCAATAGAATCAATCGGACGCCTTGTACAATTCAATAGGGATGAACTGTTGTTGTTCTTATCGGGTTGTACGGCGGTTGTCTACATGGCTCGGATGCGGTCCGGGGCGTGACAGAACATATGTATGTTATATAAACAATTTGTTTAATTTGTCATGTGATGCTTTGTACCTTATATACTCATGGTTTAAGGCCCAATCTTTGTATTTATCAAGAAGAGCATATGTATTTTATATATATATAGGTTTGGGTTCAAATAACAACATGATCTTATGAGAAAAATAAGAATGAATCTGGACCGTTAGATTTGCTTTATATGAAATTCAATGTGCATTAGATGAAGTATTCATGTGTAATAAGTGAAATTGAAATGTGCAACATAAAGGGTACGATGTTGTAGCATTATGTGAAGCTAAATTGTGCATTAGGTGAATTTGAAATGTGCATTAGATGAAACTAAAATGTGCAGAACAAAAGGTACAATGTGATGTTATTTTTGTGCGCCTTATTCTGCACATTTCAGTTTCACCTAATGCACATGTGAGTTTAAATTTATATTCTGCACATTTAAATATCGTCTATTGCACACTTCGGTTTCACCAAATGCACAATTCAGTTCCACATAATTCAATCCAACAATCTAGATTCGTTCTCATTTTTCTCCTAAGATTCGTTCTTACCGGAACCGCTCCCTATATATATGTGTGTGTCTCATTAGAAAAATATATAGTTAACATTATTTATTGTCCATAATTATCTGAACACATTTTAATTACAAGTTTGTGTGAGTCATAAATTAAAGGAGAATATAATGATGTGTAACATACCCATTAAGGTGCCATTGATCACGAATGATGCCACGCAAGAGATTAGCATCAGCACAAGTAGGTTTTCCATTAACTTGATTGTAGGAGCACATCACACTTGACACCTTCCCTTCTACTACACAAGCTTTGAAGGGCACATTATATGTGTCTTCTAGGTCTTGAGCACTCACCTTTAATTTACAACAAATATATATCATTAAACACCTCTAGTGTTTCTATTTAATAATCACATTCCAATATAAGCTCTAAATAGACATGTTATTCTTGCAATTCAATAAAGATTTGACCAAAATATTTTATGATATGTAAATGGTAACTTAAATAATGTTTTTAATGACTAAATTGTGTAATGAATGATGTTATGTATGAATTAACTATGTAAT